ACAGGAAGATTCTCGTGTTTCTCTGAAAGAAGGCTAGGCTCTTAGAGTAGTGAGGAAGGCTTACAGATTCAGTGAAAAGCAAAAGTCGTACCTTTTATCTAAATTTCGAATAGGGCAGACGACAGGCCACAAGCTCGACACAGAGGTAATTGCTCGAGAAATGCGGCGTGCCCGGGGCACCGATGGTGCACGACTAATCCAGTCATCGGAATTCCTCACAACCACCCAGATCACCTCTTTCTTCTCAAAACAGAGTGCCTTAGTACGCCAGAGAGATCCTGACGAGGCTGATATCCGAGCAGCTCAAGAGGAGAGTAATTTTAGCGAGGCAAAGGAGACTGTCGCGTCAATACAACTTGACCATCCCTTGATCTACGGTCAGTACGATCTTTGTGAAATGGCGCTAAATGACTATTTGAAGATCTTGACGCTACCCATGTTGCAGTACATGTGTGAAGACCTTGGCCTCGATATTCCATCAAAGCCCATGCGTAAAAAGTCCCCTTACTTGGCTCTACTGAAAGAGATTGTCAGCAAATGTACTTGCCAAAAGTCATCGTGATGCTGACTTTCTCTTTAGTTTAGCAGAATAGAAAAGTGAGGAAGAAACGAATTAACGGTGACTCGTTTCTATTCGTCAGTTACTAGTTATCTCATTTTTATAAAAGCACGTAAATTAATTAGAAGTTCTTCCGTTTTGTTCTGTTTTTCTTTTAATTATGCCGATGTTGACCCTCACTTTCCTTTTATGGTCTTCATATCGGTAATGAAGTTTACTCATCTGGTAGCCGACACATGCAAACTGACGGACGTGAGAGTATTCAACCTACATTTCTTTCCGCTCATTTTGAAGTGCGGGATTTCTCTCTCTAATTTAATTTATCATTATTTGATTTGCGGTTTCTACGCGGGTATGTTTCAGCACCCCCGATACGTTTTCAATGGCGTTACGTTGCGTGACATTGATAATTACAAGGATAAGAAGAACTGTCGTCTTGCATTTAATTACTTTGAAGGTCAAAAGTCGCCTTTCGGTGTATTTCTACCTACAGAAAATGAGTTCGCAAAGTAAAAGATAAAAAAAATATCTTATTTATCAGCATGGAATCAAATTCTAATCTACTGAGTAGCTTCTCTCGAATGTATCTTTTGCATTACTTGAATATGAGATGGTGCTAATGTAATATGTACTTCACTTGCAGATTTTTAGCCCAAAAATATTTTGTAGAACCTTTTCAAATATCTTACGGAACAGTTTACTTGTCTTTACATTTTCTAAGCTACAAGCCGACACAGCGGAGACCGGATTTAATTTGGAGATTTAACAACTCAGTATGATTAAATTACCTTGTTGTTTGTTTACACACTTTGCATCATTTTTCTCACTCAAAGTCACAAACATTTCTGCCATTTTCGAAGGGAAGCAATGCGATTCCGGACATCATACTTTTCACAGTAAATGGAAAATAGCAATATTTCACGAATATGTTGTTGAAAATCCAAAATATGTGGTACCAGGTACATTTTTTTCGCGTGAAATATCACCCGTTTTTCGCCGCCATTTTACTCTGTCTGTGAGGATGTTCTTTCAAGGGCTTAAATAATCCCAAAATCGATGTGCCCCAAAAAAAGTTTATTAACTAGAATTGAATAAGAATAGCTGTCCTAATATCGTGTGAAGTTTGGCGTTGATTGATTACATTTTAATCCTTAAACGGGGCTTGGTTTTTGCAGTTAATTTTTGATCAGGCGTCATGCGGAGCCTGAGCTCCGGAAGCCTGAAAACCGCGTTTTCAGATTTTGGCAAATTTATGAAAATTTAAGAATCGCTGAAACTTAAAAACATGATTTTTGAAAATAGTTTATAAAAGGGTATCTTTGAGCAAAATATGAGCATTTCACCAAAATGGTCGTTGACGGACGATTCTCGATCCTGACAGGCAGCCATTCTTAATTATATCACTCAAAACTCGTTCCCGTTTGTCTTATTTGATAAAGAGGGAATCATTAATGTTTTCATTAAAACAGTACTGCCTTGATTTTCCAACATTTACAGTAATAGACAGTAAATTTCACTTTTCACCCATTTTTACTTCCAACCTTTTCTTTTGAACAAGAAACAAAAATGATATATGTTTAAAACACATGACATCATCCACCCTTTTCAAATGTAATAGCATGATCATTTCAATTATAATGCCTTCTTATCCCAACGTTACTTTGTTTCTTTCCTATATTAGCGAACACTGAACTACTACTCGTACTCTAAACATGACAATCAACCACAAATTCTCCAAACCAGATAGCATTAGACATAATCCAAAAAATCATGTAAGTCATCTGTCAATTCACGAGTTTGCTCACAGAGCACTTTGATTTGGTTTGTTTTTGTTTTTCAATATTCCAACTTCTCAATAGTTTTACAAAGAGGAGGTACGCGATTCGTAGTTAGATGTTTGGAGTAAGTCTTGAAAACAAAGAATGTGCCCTGGATACTTGCAATTGATTCACTTTCGTAATGTCTAAATTGGCTGAAAATAGCAGACTTTCACAATGACGTATTCAACGCGATTTTTCAACGGGAACGTAATTTTGAGGATCGACAAATATCCTCAAAATCAATTAAGGTTTACCGTTCAGGGCCAATTTCTATTTATTTATCTACGGAGAGGTTTTTTTAAAATATATATTCAACTAACAGTTGTCATAAACCTCAAAATTTTTATCAGCTTTATTTTTTTAATAAATTATTGAATAAAATTTATCAACCAGAAGTACACCATATGGGATTGAGGGGTTGATTGATATAAAGCATACCCTCCAGATTTGAAGAAAGGTGTATATGTATTGTTATCTAATATTCTCGACCGACAGCTCTTTAAACCAATTAGAATATAAAAGAAGGATATATTGAGGAAGCTTTTAGTGTTGCTGATATAGAGAATTATAAGATTTAATTAATTATTTGCCTGGTGGTTTCTGTGAAAAAGAAGTATTATCCCGTGTTGCCAGCAGTTCCAAAAAAACGTAGCGAAAGGAGGAAGACTGGATGAGCTGCCGATGAATGTGACGACGAATTCAATAGATGGTGGAACACAGACGGAAAAACATGAAGTATCGCCATGTTTTCCCTCCTTGGTGGTTGTGTTACAACAACAATGAATTTATTTTTCAGTAGTTAACATTTTCCTCTCCATAACAGCATTTCTTAGGAATTCCTTCATCGATCCTTGTTGCTCTTAACAAAAAATCTTCCCTTCATCCACCATCCTTGTATCGTTGTCTGGCAACAACTGATCTGTTGGTTGGTCTTATTACCCAGCCTCTTTATACTATTTATTCGATGTCTTTAGTTCGCGAAAACTGGACTCTTTGTCAATTCATAAGAGAGCAGTGCACTGTGGGTGCAGTTAGCATTAGTTGTTTGTTATGTACCAAAATTTACAATGCTGCTTGTGATCACTTGCAGAAAAAAAATTATTCTTCACGTGAAGTCATTATTGACGGAATTACAAGCATTTTAATGTATTTTAACTCCACTTTGAACCCGTTTCTTTACTTCTGGAAAGTCAGAGAAGTGAGACAAGCAGTAAAGCAGACAATCCGACAAGCACTGCTTTTCATGGACCTAGATATAGATTCCAGGAGTCGTTAGACTTGTATTAATCAGGCATAGTTTGAAGGGAAAGAGAAAAAGAGATAGAATGAAACAAACACGATTTCTCAGCATCTATTGTGTTTTAGATGCTTTAGTATTTGCCTATTTATTATTTTAAATAGCAAATAAAAACACAATACCAGTATATAGCATTCTAACCCTGTCGGCAAAAAGAAAAATTGAAAGGTAGACTTAATATTACCCAGATGCCGGGCCTCTGCGTACTCGCTGCTTGTTCTCTTGCCAAATACTGAAGCTGTCTTTTGCTCTTTCGATGTTTTTTTTTAAAATTGATCTAGTGCGCCATATAATAACAACGCACTATTGTGGACTAAAACTACTCCTGATTGTGAGCGCACGACTCATAAGAACGAAATGAACTTTTTAATTTGGGAATATGACTCATCCTTAAAGATGAAGACATATGTTCAACTATTTTTGATGAGACGGTAAGAAAATTATCTTTTTTATGCAAAACTAGAAACTGATAAGGAACGGTAACTTTACTTGAACAGCTGTTTGTGGCTTATACTTTTGCCCGCATTCTGTAAGATCAGAAACAGGTTTTTAGAGAAAGTTCCTGGAGAAGACTCCAAGAAAACGGCAGCCAGTGAAGCAACTTTAAACAATCAAAGCAAGCTTTGACGTATTCTCCTGTGCTTTTAAAGCCAGATTAACTGTGAAAGAATTTGCTTATTGTTGATGAGTCGCGATACGTGCGGCAATTAATTCTCCCTTTCAATTTTTCTTTTTGCCGACGGGGTTAGAATACTAAACAATGGTACTGTGTTTTTATTTGATATTTATTAGCATAAATAAGCAAACACTTAAGGATAAATTTTTAGATCTCACGCATCTGAAATCGGAGAGACATTTGTTCCCGAAAAGCATAAATGATCTCCAATTGAATAACTAAAACTCCAGCCGCGATCTTTACATATTACAAACAAATATTTCTGAGATAAAAGTCACAACCGTTATAAGAACCTAACATAGAGAATTATTCAAAATTATTCGGTGGACCTAGCTTCCTAGTAATTTCAAACAATGTCTCGTTATTGAAAAACGTCTACAAGTTATTTTCTCTTCCTCTCGCGTCTGACAAGAACGCAAAGGAACTACACAGGAGGTGAAAAATAAATAGTAACTAAACCACCAAACCGTCCATCCGATTTTCATCTTTATTAACTTTCCTAACTTCTTAGCTTAAATAGGCAAATACCAAAGCATCTTTAACAACAAAGATGCTGAAAAGTTGTGTTTGTCTGATTCTATCTTCTCTCTTCTTTCCCTTCAAATTACGCCTGATCAATACAAGTCTGACGACTCCGAGAAAATATATCTAAGTCCATGGAAAGCAGAGTGCTCGTCGGATTGTTTGCTTTACTGCTTGTCTCATTTCTTTGATTTTCCAGCAGTAAAGAAACGGGTTCAAAGTGGAGTTAAAATATGTTAAAATAGTTGTTATTGCATCGATAACGTCTACATGTAAAGGATAAGTTTTTCTATTAGTGATCACAGCTAGCGTTGTAAATTTTGGTACATAACACACGGCTAATGCTAACTGCACCCACAGTGCACTGCTTACTGCCTTCCTGTATCTTACCATGTTCAGCGCATTCGGTTGAACATGATCTTGTACTTGAACCTGATTATGTCTAAGAGTGCGAAATATCTTTGTATACGAGGCGATTGAGATCACTGAGCATGACGGTATGACTATAATACTACACCAAAGGGTAATTCGAGTATGTGAAACGGAAAATGATGCAGCGGCTACGGAAAAAATCCAAAACGTAGCTGTTATAATACATGTACGCTTTAAAGTAACTATTTGTCTGTATCTTATTCCCAACAACAGAGCGAGAAGTCTGTCCACGCTTATGGCCGTCAACGTCAACAAAGACACCCCACATAATGCAAAGCTTGATATGGAGAATGCGGCCCCTGCGTATCGACAAAGACTCCAGTGTTCGTGAACCAAGGAGATCCAATAAGTAGCAGCGAGAGGCTGGGTAACAAGACCAACCAACAGATCAGTTGTTGCCAGACAACGATACAAGATTTTGGACGGAGGATGAAGGGAAGATTCCTTGTTAAGGGCAACAAGGATTAGAAAATTCCCAAGAAATGCCGTGATGGAGAGGAAAATGTTAACTGCCGAGAAATAAATCGATTGTGGCTGTAACCCAACTACCGAGGAAGGGGTACATGCAAATATTCTATACGCTTCCGTCTGTGTTCCACCCTCTGTTGAGTTTGTCGTCGCAATCATTGTGCAGCGCTTAAAACGGTTTTCTTCCTTTCGCTACGGTTTTTCGGAACTGCTGGCAACACGGGATAATACTTCTTCACAGCAACCACCTGGCCAAGAAACAGTTAAATCTTATAATTCTTTTTATCATCAACACTAAAATCTTCCTCAATACATCCTACTCGTTTTAAATTGGTCGAACGAATTGTCCGTCGAGGCTATTACATATTTATCCGTATACACCTTTCTAGAAATTTTGAAGGGTATGCCTTGCATGAATCAAGCTCATAAAAGGTGTCTATCTGGCTGATTAATTTCATTCAAGAACGCATTTTATACAAGAGCTGATAAAAATTTTAAGGGTAAAGACATCTGTTCGTTTGTTATTTTTAGATAAACTTTTCTGTAGATTAAAAAAAAATAACTGAATAAGAATTGGCACGGAACGGTAAACCAAATTGATTTTAAGGATATTTGTCGATCCGCGAACTTTCGGTCCCGTCGAAAACTCGTTTTCAATAAAACATTGCAAAAGTCTGTTATCTTCAGCCAAATGAGAAACTATAAAAGCGAATTAATTGCAAGTATCCAGAGCACGTTCTTTGTTTACGGACTTACTCGAAACGTCTATCTACAAATTGCCTACCAGCTGTGCACCTCCTCCTTTAAAACTGTAGAGAACTTGGAATATAGAAAAAAAAAAAAAAAAAGAAAAAGGAAGAATAATACAAATTATTTATTTGTAATTGATTTATAACAGTTTTGAATATAATTGACAACAGTTATAATTCCGAACACAATTAACTGACAATTGAAAATTAGTCTACTGCTGAAGAGATGTCAAGTACTTTTAAAAGAATGTTTGACGTTTCGTTTTGTTATTTGAAAATATCCCCCAATCATTTTCTCTTCTTCACGCATCCGATCAGAATTTATGAACGGAACCATGACAGGTGTAAAACGTTACTTAACTAAACTAACACACCATTAGAAAGCCATTTCGATATTTATTCATTATTCCATCCTCCTTAATTTCTCTCAGTCTCATTCGAACGGCAGCTGGTTGTGATCTTTAATTCTTCACTTAAATTGTCTTCGCTTCTAAAATTTAAAGTTACTCGATCGTGAACGCTGAGAAGCCAAATTGATTGATATATGGTTACGAATTGCCAAAATGGATCAACAATTTTGGATTAAGCAAGTAAAGTACTGGATAGTGGACATGCCTATTAAAGTCTTAAAATTCTGGAATATTCAAGAGATTATTGTTTTAGTTGAAATATGCATTTTTCTGTTTTCTTTTTCTATGGCCTTAGATGTCAAGTATTTAAAAGAAAATGTTTAACTCCTTCGGTGTCCTTGTCAGACGCCAAAGGAAGAGAAAATAACTTGTAGATGTTTTTTAAAAACGAGACATCAATTAGACATTGTTTGAAATTATTATGAATCTAAGTCCACCGAATAATTTTGTACAATTTTATGTGTTCGGATATTTTAATGGCCGTGACTATTTTCTTAGAGGTATTTCCGTGTAGTATGCAAAGATTGCGGTGAGAGTTTTAGTTATGCAATTGGAGATCATCTATGCTTTGCGGGAACAAATATCTTTCCGCTTCCGGATGCGTGAAATTCGAAAATTTATTCTAAGAACTAGAAGAATGTAGCAGAATCTGAGGAAGACTTTTGCAAATTGTACGGTTTCCAATACAAAACTGAGGGGGAGTCAGTCGTCGCTTACAGAGTACAACGGGGAGACTAACGAATAAGGGTTCTATTCTTTATGTAGTCTTAAAGACGCGGGAAATCGACGGTCGCGGTTTCTAAGATGGCTTTCTTTTGAGGATAAGTCGTTTGTCCGAAAGAAAAATTTGAAGGGCAAGAAAAAATAAGATAGAATTGACACACATTGAATATTCTAAAGGAAAATTCGAAACCAATGGTTGGTAGTCACTGCACTGTGGAAAAAAGAGAAATACGGAATATGTAGGATATTTTCTCGTGTTATGATATGTTTGCGAAAGAATCGAGACTTTCTAGTCAAAACATTTTAGTTTAAATTTCGAATTCAAAATGATAATTTCTTGAATATTCCAATATTTTGACATTTTGATAGGCATGTTCGCTGCCCAGTATTTTACTACAATAAATCAAAATTGTCGATCCATTTTGGCAATTCGTAATCATATATCGATCAATTTTGGCTTCTGAGTGTTAACGATCGAGTAAATTTTAAAACGACGAGAATATAAGAGAAGAGGTTAAGATCACAACCAGCTGCCGTTCAAATGAAACTGAGAGAAATTAAGGAAGATGGAATAATGAATAAATATTGAAATGGCTTCCTAATGATATGTTAGGTTAGTTAAGTAACACTTTTCAGCTGTCAAGGTTCCTCTCGAATAGTTCTGATCGGATGCAAGAATAAGAGAAAATAACTGACGAATGTTTTCAAATAACTAAACGAAACGCTAACAGTCTCGACAGAAAAATCGTTCAATCAATTTGAAATGAGTAGAATGCATTGAGAAAGTCTTAATGTCGATAGTATCACTGATGGAAGTGAGTTTTAACTGTTTCATGGTTGAATGGTTGCTATGAATGCTAAATATCTCATATTGCTAGCAATTCCAGAAGAACCCTAGTCGGAAACGAAGGACACCGTTTCATTAGCTGCAGAATGATTGCAGCAACAAGTTCAAAAACATACGAAAAATAGATAGCTTATAAAGAAATAATGTGCTCACCCACTTATGTGGGAGAAGTTGGTCAAATCGAAACTTTTCTCTCAGGAGCCAACATAATACTCTCCATTATAGCATTTCTTAAAAATTCCCTGATCCTCGTTGCCCTAAACAAGGAATCTTCCCTCTATTAACCGTCCAAACTCTTGTATTATTGTCTAGCAACATCCGATCTGTTGGTTGGTCTTGTTAGCCAGCCTCTTTATGCTGCCTGTTCACGAGAAGTGGAATCTTTGTCCATTCGTAACTGATGCGAGCTTTATAACTGGCTTTGTGTTATTTGGAGTTTCTATGATGACAATGGTTGCCATAAGCGTGGATAGACTTCTCGCCCTATCGTTAGGGCTGAGATATAGACAAATTGTAGCGTTAAAGCGCATGTATTACAGCTATCTTTTGGATAACATCCATTCTTGCTTCATCATTTTATAATTCTAGGTTACTTCTATTGTATAAAAAATAGTTATTCTGTCATTCTCAGTGATCGCTTTCACCTCGTATACAAAGATTTTGCGCACTCTCACTCGTAATCAGGCTTAAGTACAAGATCATGTTCAACAACAGCTTAGCCAAACAACTGCACTAAACATGGCAAGATACAGGAAGGCAGTGAGCAGTGCACTGTAGGTGCAGTTAGCATTAGTTGTTTGTTATGCACTAAGTTTAACATTGTCAACACTTGTGATCATCTGTAGGACTTATTCATTACATTTACTCGTCACTTCTGAAATAACGACTCTTTTAGCGTGTTAAAAGTTCCCCTTAAACCCGTTTCTTTACTGCTGGAAGATTAGTAAAGTGAGGAAAGCAGTGAAGCAGACAATCAGACAAGCACTTTGCTTTCCATGGAGGTATAACTTTTCCCCTGAAGACCGCATGCGTGCGAGTTCATTGTTTAAATAAAACTAGCGCCATAAGTGCAAGAGGAAAGGACATGTTAGTTATCGGAAGAGATATGATTAATGTATTTCTTTATTAGGATTACTTGGTGTTCAAGTTATTTCATGCTATGGAAATCGGGGTAATTAGGTTCTTCTGGAGTGGACATTTCTACTCCAGAGCATACTAAGATTCAATTTTATAGCTAGCACGGGTTTAAAGGCCACGCTCGACCAATGTGCTTTGCGCACCGTTGTTATCGTTATTATCCGGGAACTCGATACTTTTTTAAAGGCGAAGTAGCTTTTGCCAATATTTTTAACTCCTCCACCAAATAAACAGAGCTTTTTTAAAGCTGTAAGATAAAATGTATTTATATCAAGACAGGCATCCAAACAGTGTTTGAAGATAACAAACAAGAATTGCATGTGCTTGACCTATCGCGAGAAAAGACCGCAAAACTATGATATTCAACTCACCGAAAACATAACCGCAAGTCCTTCTGTATTTATCTGAGATTTTCTAATTTTTCTTTCAATTCCTCATTCTCCCTCTCCTCTTGAGATAAAGACCATGTGCTTAGCAGAGTCTCGATCAGGCATGCTTGCAGCAGATACAAGCATCATGTGATCGGCGTATTTTCATCCCCAGGTCACCGATCAAGAAAATTGAATTCGTGAATGCATTTCAATTTTTTTTTTTTTTTTTTTTGTTTTTGGAAAGAGGAAAAATTAATTTAAAAAATTCCATTTTCAATTTTTCGGAAAATTTGCATTTTACCCGTGCCTTAGACTTTTTTGAAAATTGAAAAATGAATTCGTTAAATTGTCATTTTTTAATGAAAAAATTAAGAATTTGTTCATGCTTAGCGTGCGTATATCGAGTTATGGATGTACGCGGCAAGTTTAGAGAGCACGAAAAATGCATGAGTAGCTCGAAGCGCAGCCGAGAGCAACTCTAGCTTTTTGAGTGCTCTCCAAACTTCCCAGGTGCATCCATAACTCGATATACGCACAGCTAAAAGCATAAGCAGACTCTTTTATAACAGAGCTACAACTAGGATCTTCCGACAAATTCGCGAAACGTGCAACTTGCGAGTTTTTCGCGTTCGCTAGAGAAACTTTAAATTTGAAAAACGAAGACAATGTAAGAAAAGAATTTAAGATCACAGCCAGCTGTCGTTCGAATAAGACTGAGAGAAATTAAGGAGGATGGAATAATGAATAAATATTGCAATGGCTTTCTAAGGGTGTGATGGTTTAGTTAAATAAGATTTTGCACTTGTCGTGGTTCCTTTTGTAAATTCTAATCAGATGCGACAAGAAGAGAAAATGATTAGGGGATGGTTTCCAATAACGAAACGAAACTTTAATTATAAAATTTCTCGACATCTACGGTCATGGATTAATTTTCAGTTGTCAGTTAAATGTGCTCGGAATTAATTTCAAGACTGTTTTTCGTGTACCATGAACATTTTACGGGAGTTTTATTTTTGCGGATGGAGACAATTTGTGCTTTCTAAGCAAACAAGTCAGTCGGTCTCTAAATTACTGACAGTTTCATCAGTGAAACATCAGCCTGAGGGCAGATGTTCAACTGAATGGACCAAAGTAAGGAAGGGAGGAAATGAATAATTTAAATTTTTATTATTTCCTTCTTCCATCTTCTCTATAGTTTTACAAAGAGGAGGTACACAGCTGGTAGGCGATTAGTCGATAGATGGTTTGAGTAAGTCCGAAAACAATCAAAGTGCCCTAGATACTTGCATTATATTCACTTTTGTAGTTTCTCATTTGGCCGAAGATAACAGACATTTGCAATATTTTATTAAACGCGATTTTTCAGCGGGAACGTCATTTTGCGGATCGAAAAGTATCCTTAAAATCAAGTTAGGTATACCGTTCCTGGCCAATTCCTATTTTCTTATCTACAAAGAGGTTTATCAGAAAATAACAAACTAACAGATGTCTTCATCCTTGAAAGTTTTATTAGCTCTTATTTAAAATGCGTTCTTGAATGAAATTTATCAGCCAGAGGGACACCTTTTATGGGGTTGATTTATGCAAGGCATACTCTCCAAATTCCAAGAAAGGTTTACAACTATAAATATGTAATAGTCTAAAAGGACAGTTCCTTCAACCGATGTAAAACGAGTAGGATGCATTGAGGAAGATTTTAGTGTTGATGATAAAAAGAATTATAATATTTAACTGTTTCTTGGCCAGGTGGTTGCTGTGAAGAAGTATTATCCCGTGTTGCCAGCAGTTCCGAAAAACCGTAGCGAAAGGAAGAAAACCGTTTTAAGAGCTGCACAATGATTGCGACGACAAACTCAACAGAGGGTGGAACACAGACGGAAGCGTATAAAGTATTTTCATGTTCCCCTTCCTCGATAGTTGGGTTACAACCACAATCGATTTATTTCTCGGCAGTTAACATTTTCCTCTCCATCACGGCATTTCTTGGGAATTTTCTAATCCTTGTTGCCCTTAACAAGGAATCTTCCCTTCACCCTCCGTCCAAAATCTTGTATCGTTGTCTGGCAACAACTGATCTGTTGGTTGGTCTTGTTACCCAGCCTCTCGCTGCTACTTATTGGATCTCCTTGGTTCACGAACACTGGAGTCTTTGTCGGTACGTAAGGGACGCAGCCTACATATCAAGCGTTGCATTATGTGGGGTGTCTTTGTTGACGTTGACGGCCATAAGCGTGGACAGACTTCTCGCTCTGTTGTTGGGAATAAGATATAGACAAATAGTAACTTTAAAGCGTACATGTATTATAATAGCTACGTTCTGGATTTTTTCCGTAGCCGCTGCATCATTTTCCGTTTCACATACTCGAATTACCCTTTGGTGTAGTATTATTGTCATACCGTCTGTTGAAGTCCTAAATGTAATAACTGTCCTAAATGTAATAAAGTCCTAAATGTAATAACATTTGGTCCTAAATGTAATAAAGTCCTAAATGTAATAACGTTCGGTCCTAAATGTAATAAGCCTCCAATGCAATCGTTTAACTGCGCTAGTGCACTGTTGTTATAGCAGACATCCACATTGAGATGTTAAAGTGACAGCTGTTGCACCAAAGAATCCTCTGACCAATATTCATGGCATATTGCGGACTCGCTGATGTTGATCAGCGTCTTTTTATATGCTAAAGACGTAGGTTGAGAAGCATTGGCTACAAAACCTTATACTGATGTGCTTTTGGCATCAAATTGACAGACGCAAAAACAATGAGAACGCTGACCAAGAGCTTTCTTTATATCATTGGCTCACTCTTAAGTGAAACAGGTTTTGACGATATATTTGTGTGATCAGTGCTGAAGTTAATACCTTATGAACCGCGTTACAAGGAAAAGGTAGTCCACTGACCAATACGTCTGACAAATTCCGGGCTCGGAAGTGCATTTTTGTACTGTCTTCCCTTGCCAGATTTGTATGGGTCTGCATGAAATATATTCCTATGCTTTATTGACCAAGCGTGAGGTCAAATGGCTGGATATTGGCCGAATTTTTTTTTTTGTTTTTAGGGACTGAGACAAAGTCTCGGTCCAAAAAAAAAAAAAGTAGAAAAAGAACGAGGCTAATATCCAGTCATCTTGACCGAACAAGCTTGGTCAATGCAAGAGAGTTTATATTCTCTTGGCTTAAACGTTAAAGGATTCAATGTATAGCAAAAGATTTCGCTTTGATAAGAATCCAGAATGACTTGTTTATTTCGAGAGCCGAGAGTGAAAGCCAACTGTTTTTGTAGGACAAAGCCTAAGCTCAACAGTTTCCACTTATAGTCATATGGTACATGAACTGATTACCGAGGTGGAGTGAAGCCATAGAGGGCTAGAAATGCCATATCCTATTGATAATAGTCATTCTTATAAATGAACTCAAATGCTTCATTAAAATAATTTGACACTGAATAACATTGATGTTCAAAATTTCAGTAACACTACTGATAATAATACTTTGGATTAACATGTGATACAGCGAAATCATTCAAACTGCTCTAAAAAATAGTGCATCACTACTAACGACTTTAACACGAACGATAACATCAACAATAGCATGCTAGTTAATCATCAATTGCAGTCAATTTCTTTTCCAAAAATTCCAATGATTACGTACCAATCGAGTTCATCCACTTGAACTTCCAGCCAAGCATTAGCCCACTTTGGACTAGAAATGATTTTCTTCAGCTCGATCAATAGACCGCTTAAAGGACCACACTTTTTTAGAAGGCTTCGAGCGCTGATTAAACAAGACTTTAATCCACCAGAGGCATAAAGCCTCGGTAGAAATTGTTTCAGACGTTGCACCGACGCCCTTAATCGTGTATTAACTTTACGTAATGTTTGGTAAGTGTGGCATGCATTACCAACAAACAGGATGGCCGATGACGCTAACACTATTTCTAAGATTTTTTCTAAAACTTCACTGGGAAGTTTTCCAATGTGACATTCGTCATCTCCTCTCGTCGCAAATAAGTCGATGTCTACATCTGAAACAAACTGAACCTCCATCAGCTTATCACCATCATTGGCTATACCATTGTCGACTTCATTTTGCAATTCATACTCCGTCTCGTTTGTTCGGCTTCCATGAGTAAGTCCCTTAGCTATATCTGTAGCAATGTCCGTGTCGTCACCAATGGCGACGATACTGTTAAGTCCAGTTTTTGCGTCAGAGTCACCCATTTCAAAATCAACGACGTCCTGCTCTATGTGCATTTTATTCGCATAATCCTCGGGAACTTCTCCTTCTCCTAAGTCATTTGCATCGTATTCTTTTTTCACTAGCGTCGTTGTGATCCGCAACTTGTTCCAAGCTCACGTAGTGTTCGCCTTGGTTCTCAGCAAGATGTCCAAGGTACACGGTAGCTGCTGAAACACTTGCTGACGGACTGAACACATGCTACCCACCAACTCCTAGAGAGGAAACTATTTGTATATCGATATTATACAAGTTTGCTGCTGCATACAGCGTAATCTGATCTCCATAGGTCCCATCTCGCGCCATAAGAGTTATATAATCGTCCCAGCAAGCGAACTCATCATCTGCCAAATGCTCCAAAAGTAGGAAGCCATCGTTATCGTACGGATTACTTTTTAAGTACTCTACTATTTCTTTCCTCATGGTTTCAGGAGATCTCAAAATGCCTAGTCTCTTTGCCTGGTGCAATAGTGCAGCAAATTGGCAATTGCCATCTCCAGGAGGATTGTAAACCAATTTAAAACCCTGATCTTCAATAGCCTTTGCATAATCGTTTCTTCTCATAGGTATGTAATACTTTTTGTAGTGGTCAATTTTTTTCTTTTTTAGACAGCTTGGCGCATTTTTGTTTCTGTTTTTCTCGCTCTATTGTTAGGCTTGTGATATCGTCCACGGAGACCCATGTCCTTTCTTCCTTTCCTGAAAGCGGTGAGGCGTATGAAACCTTATAGGTATGCAACTTGATCTTACGTTTCTCGATACGACCCTCCGTCACATGCCGTTTATTCGATGGTTTCCCTCTCAAACGTATATACACTTTTTCTCCGATGCTGTAAACCGAGGGCGGATTTAAGTGAAGTTGTGTTCGCTGCATCCGCTTGTCACATCTGCTCGTGGCTTTTTTTGCTTACTTTCGTAATTTCAAAGTTTGTCGGGAACGCCGATTACGGTCATTGTTAGTTGGGCGAACCCTCCCAGCACTAGGAAGGATTTCGTCTTGTAATCTGCTCTCTCTAAAGGCGTTGCACTCTCGTGCAAAGTATATTTCGAATGGTGTTTTGTAAGCTATAAATTCCTTAGGGTCGTTATTTAGAATTCTTTGATAAAGAGGGAGCTGTTTCGCCCAGTTTACACCGTCTTGACCCTTTTTTTGAAGGTCATATTCCATCTTGGATCTTAGTGTCCTGTGGCAACTTTCCACCTTGCCTTGTGATTGGGGATGGCGCGGGCGACTGTAAATCAATTTTATATTCATGCGATCGCAAAGTAATTTCAAAGCTTTCTTGAACTCCCCTCCTTGGTCGCAATGTATTATTTCTGGCGATCCATGCTCCATATAAATAGATTCCAATTCACTTTCAATAACCTGGCTTGATTTGCTTTCCAAAGGACGAAGCCAAAGGAAACGGCTGAAAACATCAATCACTGTTAGAACGTATCTGTTCAAATGTCCATTCATCTTCACGGATCCTTTTTTGCTCATATCCATCAAATCTATTTGGTGCCTAACATGAACGTCTCTGGCTCTGATAGGTTTCAGCCTCGCCTTATTAAGAAACTCAGCATTTCGGCGATAATGACTTTTGTCCGTGTTTAGAATAGTTTGTATTTTAGCTCGACTTACTCCTAAAAAGTTGTCCCTCAGTGAGCAAGCCAACTTCCCCGCAGCAGATCCTTTCGTCCTTTCAAATTTCCTCAACCACTACTTTGTTAACCTCTGATGATTTTAATAGTCGACGCCCCTCGCAATAGAGTGCCTTATCACTATGGTCTTCTTTCACTGATATCTTTCCGCCGGCTCTCCAGTATCGCACAGCAGCTGCACGCATTGCTCTCGTCCGTTCTTTCACTGGTGGTTGCGCCTTGCCTTCAACAAGGTCGAGCAGTGCTTCATGAACGTCGTCTGCTAAAACAGATCTTTATGGGCCACAGACTTATCCCACAATGATGCTAGTAATGCTAAAACCATAACAACTAAAACAATAAATCTCATGTTAAATCAATGCAAGTACTAGCGCTCCACATTCGATCTAGATCTCAAAGAAAACTGCCGGAATATTTCACAGGCTCGTGAAATGTTTATCAGTCGGATCCGCACTGAAGAATTTTTCCACACTCAGTTCAACCAATCAATTCAACGTTGCTGGGCAAATCTTTGCCTTACTACCAGTTATTTTGAAACTGGAAAGTTAAGCGCTTTACGTGCATGTTATTCTCATAGTGCTGATTCAGTAGAAGAAAAGTCCGTTTTAGAGTCAGGTCATGCTGTTTTATCTAATGTCTGATCGTTAAAGACATCAGTGTGTCGAGCAAACCTTGTTTCCTTTTTTTCTTTCTTTCTTTAATTCTTTAAATCAATTAGTATATTGCTAAAAAGGCTCACACGATTAGTTGTACTCACATCTCAGAGAAAGCAAGGGAACAAATTTTTGCGTGAGTTTTTGGGGACCGGGACATAATTTACAGCCTTCAACATAAACAACCATTTTTAATGTTCATTATAAATCACTCGTGTGACTGTTTCCGGCCTTATATAAAACGTAATCGAGCAACAAGTATGCGCTAAAAACACCTGTTACTTATTTCGAATTACAGTACTACCTCTTCCATAGGAACCTTTTCCCGTGCCTTTTAATTTTGGAGCTCAAAAAATTTGCGTTAGTGAGCTCGTTCATGACATGCACCAGATTTTTGTTAAGTGTCTGTTTTGTGATTGGCAATCTGAGCCGGTGATTTGTGATGATGTACTGGTCAGTAGCTTCTTTGCATTTACACCTGTTAAATGTAAGTAACTGAGTATATGATTCGATGGAGACACATGCAATACCTTATTCGTTTGTCGGATTTGTTGCAGGCATTTCAAGATCAAGAGAATATAATTGTCCCACTTATGTTCTATCGAGGAGAAAACTTTTTTTCCATATTCATATACTCAGGGAGATATTCGAGAATTTGAAAGTAACAACCCTCTAGAGTGCTGTCACGAGATCCGAATTGGTAAACAAAATGTGCATGCTAACAAGGTCTGTGCAGGCATGGAACGACAAAACATTTGTAGCCGAGCCTGCAAATTGTCCGACCTACAAGTCAGTGGACTCATTTGTCCAAGTTTGTAATTTGGTTTATGACTTGTTAAGTCCATCACCGATCACACAAGTATAATGTTATCCTAATTTTCCAAAATTTATTGTACCTAAGAGTCTGAGCTAGTGACATATGGAGAGGTTTTGGTCAGCATACTCATTGTTTTGTCAGCTGTCATTTGATGCCATTTGCGGCCAATGCTTCTCGACTTATGTCTAGCAAGTAAAAAGACGCTGATCGATATCAGCGAGCCCGTAATTTGACATGTATACTGGTCAGCGGTTTTTTGTGCAACAGCTGTCACTTAAACATCTCAATGTGGATGTCCGCCGTAACAACAATGCACTGAAGGAGTTAAACGATTGCATTGGAGGCTTATTACATTTAGGACCAAATATTATTACATTTAGGACTTTATTACATTTAGGACAGTTATTACATTTAGGCCTTCAACACCGTCATGCTCAGTGATCTCAATCGCCTCTTATACAAAGATATTTCGCACTCTTAGACATAATCAGGCTCAAGTACAAGATCGTGTTCAACAACAGTCGAGCCAAACAACTGCTCTAAACATGGCAAGATACAGGAGGGCAGTGAACAGTGCACTGTGGGTGCAGTTAGCTTTAGCTGTTTGTTACGTACCAACAGCTTTAGTGTTGCTTGTGCAAGCTTCTAGAAAAACTTATTCTTCAAATGTAGTAGTTATAAAAGCAATAGCAGATATTTTAACATATTTTAACTCCACTTTGAATCCGTTTCTCTACTGCTGGAAAGTCAAAGAAGTGAGGCAAGCAGTGAAGCAGACAATCCGACAAGCACTTTGCTTTCCATGGACTTAG